GCTTCTAACACTAAATCTGAATTATATTTACGGGGTACACTAAAGGAGAAGCCCATGGAATGTGTTTAGTGACAGAAAGATGAAAACTAAATACTCTTCATATTAATTATGCTTTGAAGGAAAGGGCAAATGACAGCTCTTGCTTCATCTTAAATCCAGCCTATGGCAAATATTTGTGGATTTTCCTATAAGTAACAGAATTATATTACTTGAAGAAGTCGAAACAGAAAGGGCAAGATTTTCAGACATGTGTACCCTAGCAAAATACTAGTGGTAGGGATACTCAATCTCTATGCAGAGATTGTGTTTCCCAAAGAGGCTAATACTGCCTTCTCAGGATGCTGGTATAATCTTGGGGGTCAGTGCTCTGTTTCTTCTCCTAGAGATTTCCAGGAAGACACTAAGTGATTTTCCCCCCCAAAAAACAGTACAAAGTTTGGGAACCATTGATCTAGTTCTAATTTTTCTATTTCCACCTAAGAGAAAGTGAGAGGGAATATGGATCCAAGAAAAATATATGACAAAGGCAGAGTATAAACAAACCAAAAAGCCGCCTTTTACAAACTCCCTGAAAATTTTTCACAAGGAATTTAGCTACAGTTTATTAGACAGACAAAACAAGACTGGAAAAACTGAGCAAGCATAATACTTGGCTACCGTTGCTCTCAACTTGGAATGAATCTTGAAGTTAATTATTATACCTTTGATTCAATGAACTTGCAAATTAAAGGAGATGGCTCACAGGACTGAAGAAAAAGTCTGGAATGCAGAGGCATCAAACTTGATGCCCAGCACCACAAAGTTCCTGGAGTACCAATATGCCAAACACTAAACCAGCCAGCACAGCCTGGAAGTCCTTGGGCTTGGCACCCCTAAGTTCCTGGGGGTACTGCTTTAAGGGGTCCCCCCAATTGCATTTAAAATAATATTTAATATGTGGAGGCCAACTTCCAAGTTTACCCCCAATGGTACCCTCTTCCTTCTGTGTGGTCTTCGCCACAAGTAAAACAGGACAAAGTGAAGGCATATCACTTAAAACTAACCTTAAAAGAAATGCTTCCATCTTGACCTGTCTCTCTTGGGATTTCCTCCAGAAAACGCAAGCTCTCAGAACACTGACAGGCTTTTTTCAAAAAATTCAAACAGGGGGGCCGGAAAAATAGTATAGGGAGCAGAACTCTCACCTTGCACAAGGTGACCAGGGTGTGATCCCCAGCATCCCATATGGTCTCCTGAGCACCATCAGGAGTAATTCCTGAGTACAGAGTCAGGAGCAACCCTTGAACATGCACCCCTGCCCCAGAAAAAATTCCTTAGTCTGGGGAGAGATTTCTATGGTGATGATCTCCAGGTCTCAGGCAACAGACATCAGGGAATGCATAATCAGTTCAGAATATAATGTCTGTTTCCCTCAGTCCACAAGCAGTTTATTTTAAATCAGATTATCTTAATATTAAAGTTTGTAGTTTTGGGGCTGGAGCAATAGCAGAGTGGGTAGGGCGTTTGCCTTGCATGCGGCCGACCTGGGTTCAATTCCCAGCATCCCATATGGTCCCCAAGCACCGCCAGGAGTGATTCCTGAGTGCAAAGCCAGGAGTAACCCCTGAGCATCGCCAGGTGCGACCCAAAAAGCAAAATAAATAAATAAATAAATAAATAAATAAAGGGGCTGGAGCGATAGCATAGTGGGTAGGGCGTTTGCCTTACATGCAGCCAACATGGCCAACACAGGTTCGATTCCCAGTATCCCATATGGTCCCCCGAGCACTGCCAGGAACAATTCCTGAGTGCATGAGCCAGGAGTAACCCCGGAGCATCGCTGGGTGTGACCCAAAAAGCAAAAAAAAAAAAAAAAAAGAAAGAAAAAAAAAGAAAAAAGAAAAGCTTGTAGTTTGTTACATAGCTATGTAAATAACCAATGCAGGTCATAATCCCTAATCCAAATATAAAAAATGTGAAACTTAGAAATTCGTAGAAAAGGTCTAAATTTTGGAGGGAAAGATTTAACCGTCATATTTGGTCAGCAGTAATTTCAATAGTTATACAAGGCTGGTTGTGAGAAATAAACATGTACGGGTAGCACCATGCCTGGCCCCTAACTGTTCAATAAATTTTACATTATTTTTCCCCAAGTAACTGGTCACTTGGAGAAACGCTATACACTGAATTAAGTTTCACCAAACCCTTTACAATTTCATTTCTAATGTAACAATTCTCAAATTCTCACTCATTACTATTGATGGCTACCTCCTTCCCTGAAAATTTTGAGTCATTACCTTTCAAGGTCAAGGAATCCTTCTCCAGCAGCTCCAAGAACATAATTCCTGAGAAGAGATATTTTAATTACTCTGTGTAATAGTAAAGACTTTTAAAACAACACCACTTTTATGAGCTTACATATCCTCATTTAATTATTCAATAATCACAGCAGTTCATTATGTGAACAGCAGTGAAAAGTTTAATCACTGGATATGAAGGTACTGAAGGAAGCCTCTTATCACCTGGTCAAACTGGCCACGAGGCCATTAATAAACCAGTCCATTAACAAAAAATAGTATGTGAAAACTATAATCAAATGGAAAGATACATAAATACCAATTCCAGACCAGTTCCCCTTCTCTCTGCTGGAGTACACTATGCCCATCTCCCTTTGCAGGGGTCCCTGAGGTCTTAGGTCAGTCCCGCTAGCTAATCTACAACATCCAAGTAAATCTGTTAGGCAACAAAGCCAGTGATTCCTGGTAATTAATAACCAGAAGAATTCCATCAGAACGAAGGGAGCCATGTTCCCTAGGAGCCATCCTAGGGAGTCACAGTATCTGAAATTTAAGAAGGCAAAGAAACAAAGCCCTCTTTTCCTCGGCACTTTGCTGCTGACCTAGCAGCTAGAATACTTTCAACTATTTGGTGGGGGGAATGAGTGCCTGGACCTGGGGTTTCCCCACCCAACCCCCAGGTTCTGAGGGGGATACACTATCTAGGAACCTGTTTCAATAGCAGCCCTTGTTTCTGGAGCGATAGCACAGCGGGTAGGGTATTTGCCTTGCACGCCAGGAGTAATTCCCGAGTACAGAACCAGGAGTAATACCTGAGTATCACGGGGTGTGGTGCAAAAGCCAAAAAAAAAAGGGGGGAAAAAGAATCATCAATAGCAGTCCTTTCACCCAGATCCCTACTGATATAACAAGCCTCATTCTAGTTGCAGGAACCACACCCATCCAACCTTCAGGGCTTGCTCTTGGGCAGTGTCCATATGGTGCAGAAACCTGGGATGGGTTTTTGTCCAAGTCCAGGGCCTCACACATGCTTTACCACCGAGCTCCATCTCAGGCCCATGTCATTTAGTTTCAGATTTTAATTGGCCAAATACCAGGAAAGGCCTTAATAATCCTAACCAACCATCGTTTAAATCCAGTCCTACCCTCAGCATCTATTACATGTAAATTTACACGGAGGCTGGAGCGATAGTCCAGCGAGGAGGGCATTTGCCTGGCAGGTAGCCAACCCGGGTTCCATTCCCTAGCATCCCCTAAGGTCCCCGGAGCATCAATAGAAGTAATTCCTGCGTGCAGAGCCAGGAGTGAGCCCTGAATATTGCCCGGTATGATCTAAAACCAAACAAAAAAAAACCCAAAAAACAACATGCCCTATGGATCAATTTTCCCAAATTCATAGCTTTTTCCTTACAGTCCTGGTACAGTGAAGGGCATTACATAAGCGAAAATAAAAGAATTCATTTCATTTTAGGTAGACGCAGGCTGGTTAAAATGACGGAGGCGAAATACCCGGAAAAGACAGCCTATCGGGTCTGGAGCGATAGCACAGCGGGGAGGGTGTTTGCCTTGCACGCGGCCGACCGGGGTTCGACTCCCACCATCCCATATGGTCCCCTGAGCACCACCAGGAGTAACTCCTGAGTGCAGAGCCAGGAGCAACGCCTGTGCATCGCCGGGTGTGACCAAATGAGCAAACACAAACAAACAAACAAACAAAACGGCCTACCACTGAAAGAATCCGGGCAAAGCCAACCAGAAAGGAGGCCCTGGAGCAACCGTTCTTGGAAACACCGGGTTGCTCCGGAGCACGGAAAAAGAAACGCAAAAGCGTTATTTGTTTACTCCAGGAGGCCCGGGCAGCCTTTTTCCCCCGCGCGTCTGTGGAGAATGAACTCCTCAAGGCCTCGCACGCCGCTGCTCTGTCAGGGCGCGGACCTTGCCCGTTTCCCGGCGCGGTGCGACACGTCGCTCGGCCTGAGCCGGCCCAGCCCAGCGCCCCCGGATGCTACTCCTCAGGGGTCGGCGGCAACGACCCCCCTCTCCCACCTCAGCGCGTCCCGCGGGCGACGCTTCCCTGAGCGCACCGTGGGGGCGACGTGAGCGCCTCACCTCCGGCTCCGCGCGCCCCGGCGGGCACCGGACGGGACCCTCGGCCCCAGGTAGCGCGCGCGTCGCCTGCAGGACCCGTCGGCCCGGCCCGTCGGGCATCTCCGCGCTGCAGCGTCTTCCTTTCTCCTCAGGCCGAGCCCAACGCCCCGGTCCTTCCCTCCCGCGTTCCATCGCCCGCGGCCCGCGCGGTCCTTCCACGAGATCTCGCTCGCAGCCGGACGCCCTCGGCCTGGCCTTGGCATCGCCGCCTCTGGCGCTCACGCCCGGCCGCGCGCGACACGCGATGGCGCCGGATTAAACTCCGATGGGCGCGGGGCGAGACAGGCCAGGAGGGAAGCGAGAGGCCAGCGAGCGCGCCCGACCGCTCACCCGCACGGTGCTGAGGAGAGGGAGGAGGAGCCGTGCCGAGGCGAGCTTTAATCCCCCCCCCGGCGTTCCTCATTGGCTGCTGCTCCAGGACGTGGCTGCGGATTGGCCAGCGCGCCTAGAGCCACGCCCCTAGAGAGGTAGGGTTGGGCCGTGCGCCCCGAGAGCCCGCCTTCCGCGGCCAATAAAGGTCGCGGCCGCAGCGCCGCCCGACGGGCGGAGCTCAGGGCGTCTTGTTCCCATGCCGTCGCCACCATCGCCTCGCGGAAGGGGGACCCGGTCCCGTGGAGCCACAAGATGACCCGGAGCTGCTCGGCGGTGGGCTGCAGCACGCGGGACACCGTGCTGAGCCGGGAGCGCGGCCTCTCCTTCCACCAGTGCGTGAGAGCAACTCCCGCGAGCCCCCCGGCACCGGGCCACGGTGGGGCGGGGTCGCTCGCCGCGTGTCGCCGTCGCCGTGACGTGCGTAGCGTGAAGTGAAGGGGGGGGAGGGAGAAGGACGGGAGGGGGCGTCGCTCCGCGTGGAGAGACGCTGTCCTCAGACGCGCCTCTCAGTCCCGGCCCCCTCAGAATCAATCTTCCCTCAGTCTCTCCCCTCAGACTCTCACCTCAGTCTCTCAGTCTCTCCTCAGATCGTCCCCTCAGTCTCTCCCCTCAGATTTTCCTTTCAGACTCTCCCCTCAGTCTCTTCCCTCAGACTTTCTCCCTCAAGCTGACGGGCGGCACTCTGTCTGTCTGTCTGTCTCTCTCTGTCTCCCCCTCCCCCGTCCTCTCTCTGTCCTTTCTCTCCCCCGCTCCCTTTCCCTCTTTCTCTCCCTCTGTCTCCCTCTCCCTTTCCCTCTCTCCTCTAGTCTGCCGGCCCAGCCGCAGTTGCTGGGAAAGCGTTTCCGGCGACCTCTCAGGAGTCGTCGCTCTGCACCTGGACAGCGAGGAGGAGGGGGAGGAGGGAGGGCCAGGTGGAAAGATCTGGAAGGCTCGCGCTGCCCTTCCTTAGGGTGCTACCCCAAGGCTTGCTCGGGAGCTCGTGTGCGGGTTGGCGTTCCCGGGCGCCGCCAGTCACTGAGCGGTTGTTCAATAGTTCTAGAAATCACGTGGGGCTGTGGAGCCTTTGCACAGCTGGGAAGGCGCTGGCCTTGCCGGTGACCCGGTCCGAGTCCCCAGCATCCCATATGGTCCTACTGAGTATCGCCAGAAGTGATTCTTTTTTTTTTTTTTTTTTTTTTTTTTTTTGCTTTTTGGGTCACACCCGGCAATGCACAGGGGTTACTCCTGGCCCTGCGCTCAGGAATTACCCCTGGTGCTGCTCAGGGAACCCAATGGGATGCTGGGAATCGAACCCGGGTCGGCCACGTGCAAGGCAAACGCCCTACCCGCTGTGCTATCACTCCAGCCCCCAGAAGTGATTGCTGAGTGCAGAGCCAGGACTAATCCCTGAGCGTGTGGCCCCCAAAGCAAGACAAAACAAATCGTCATATACCCGCAGGATCCGGCCGTGCATGCCACCGAAGGGCCTTTTGCATCTGTGGTACAAACTGATGGGAAGTCGCAGTGGCTGGCATGGATCCTAACCTAGCTACAGTACAGCCCTGCCCCCGGCGACCCGGGTTCGATCCCCGGCACCACACATGGTTTCCCCACCCCGGCTAGGAGTGATCTGAGCACATCCAATGTGGGCAACCACCTTACCCCCAGGAGTATACTTCAAAAGGTTAACCGTTAACTTGTTAGATAATTTGACGTAGATTTAAAACATGGACAGTACCTTTATTAGAAGTTGGGGAGGGGGCATAGTGGAGAAGAACTTGTATTTGAATCTGACCTTGAATTTTTTTTTTTCCTAGATGGGTTTCCTGGGGATGGGAACTAGGAGTAGCATGGAAAAACAAGAAACATGCAGATAATTGTGTAGAGAAGTGAAAAGCACACCTTGGAGTTGTGCTATCAGTTGTTGGGCTGCACCCTGCATTGCTCCAAAGGGGACTGGAATGCTTGGGACCCAGCATGCCCTGGGAACCTTGCCGTGACAGGGATCCTGCCTGGGGCTTCCCACATGCAAAGTTCCACTCCAGTCCTTTGAGCTCTCTCTTGGAGAAAATTTTGTTGTGATAAGGGACAGGGATGCTCAGTGGTAGTTTTGTTACCAATACAGTGCTGGTGTTCTATGACAGGCACCCCCCACACACTATTACAATTAAAATGGTAAAAGTTAAGTTTAGAGGGGCTGGAGTGATGGCACAGCGGGTAAGGCATTTGCCTTGCATGCAGCCAACTCGGGTTCAATTCCCAGCATCCCATATGGTCCCCTGAGCACCTCCAGGAGTAACACCTGTGCATCGCTGGAAAAAAAAGTTAAGTTTAGAATTATAACAGTATGCAATTGTTTCAGTATGCAATTGTTTTAAATGGGGCTGATGCCTCCATTTTAAACTACCATTATATCTTTTTCTTGGGGGTGAGAGAGGTTAAGCACTTGCCTAAAGCCACTGAGCTTGCTCACACTGCTTAGATTTGAGGAGATGACGCCCTGAGGGTTGTTTGCTGCTTGCCCCTTCTTCCATTGATAACCAAAGGGAGCCTGTGTTTCTCTCAAAGTCTTGTTAACCTTTTAATTACTGTATCCTGAGACCTTTTAACCCTGCTTTCATGAAATAGAATAAGAATCACTGAATTATCTTGCTAAATCCACGGGGGCATTTGTAAGTCTTTTTGTTTTGTATTGGGACCACACCTTGCAGTGCTCAGGGACCACTTCTAGCCAGGTTGTCCGGACCTTTTGTGCTGGGGATTACATTTGGGTCAGCAGCACACAAGGCAGGCACCCTAACCCCTGCATTGTCTCTGTGGCTCCTGGGATTAACATTTATAAGAATGACAAACTCTGAACTAGTAGTAAATAATTCTTTGGGTGGAACAAATTAAAATTAATTCATACTTCAAAATAGTCCAGAAAGTATATAACAATTTATAATTTACATTCTAATTAACATATTTTAGGTTAAATTATAGGTTAGTAACAAAATAAATATTTGGAGTCAGCGAGTAACCTAAAACCCTGCCTGGAGAAAATGTAATTCTAATGACCCATAATGCTGCATGTATTTCTTTTTTACCGACTTGCTGTGAGTTATAATGCTGCAAATGACAGTTTCACACATACATCTTTCCAACCTGCTGAACTGTTTCCCTGGTCCCTCTGAATCTTTCTTAAACTATGGTGCTCTTAGGTTGCTCCTGATTGTGTGCTCAGGAGTGACTCCTGGTCGTTCTGGGGACACAGACAGTGCCTGGGACCTAAACTGCCTCACCACCTATATGATCTCTCTGGTTTCTTTCTTTTTTATTTATTTATTTATTTTTTTTTTGGTGGGGGTGAGGGCATGTGAGTCTCTATGTCCATAGATTGTGCAAATGAAATTGTGCATTACAGTGGCTGGAAAGATAGTACAATAGGTAGGATGAATGCTTTGCACAGAGCTGGCGCTAATTTGATCCTCAGTACCCCATATGGTCCCCCAAGCACCGCTTAGAGTAATTCCTGAGTGCAGAGCCAGGAATAACCTCCAGCATTGCCCAAAAACAAACAAGAAAGAAAGGAAAATGTCCATTACAAGCTATAGCAGCAAGTGGTGGGGACTGGAAGCCACCACCAGGCCTTGGGCAGTGCTGAGCTGTCACCCATGTCCTAGTACCAACACTTTCACCTTTCAGTGCCTCCCGAAGACACCCAGGGGTGGCTAGAAGCAAGGACACCTCTTGGGGGCTATTCAGACATCCCAAATGACACTGCGTCATCATGTTAGAAGCTAGATAGCTCCTTTTTTTTGTTTCTTTTTGCATCACACCCAGCGATGCATGGGGGTTACTCCTGGCTTTTTTTTTTTTTTTTTTTGGCCTTTTTTTTGGGTCACACCTGGCAATGCACAGGGGTTACTCCTGGCTCTGCACTCAGGAATTATCCCTGGCGGTGCTCAGGGGACCATATGGGATGCTGAGAATCGAACCCGAGTTGGCCACGTGCAAGGCAAACGCCCTACCCACTGTGCTATCGCTCCAGCCCCCTACTCCTGGCTTTGCACTCAGGAATTACTTCCAGCGGTGCTTGGGACCATATGGGGTTCTGGGAATCGAACCCGGGTCGGCTGCGTGCAAGGCAAATACCCTACCCACTGTACTATTGCTCCAACCCCTCCACTTTTTTTTAGTGTTGAGTATTAATCTGAAAATTCAGAGGAAACATTTATTAGCTCCTTCTAGAAGCTAAGAAGCTAATATTAGCTCCATTATTAGAGGTCAGATTTCGGCAATGGCTTAGCATTACCAAATATCTCTTAAGATTGTAGTCAAGGGCTGGAGAGATAATAAAGGAGGTAAGCTACCAGCCCCAGATTTGTCCTTGGCACCGAATATGGTCCCCCACATACCACCAGGGGACTCTTATGAGCACAGAGCCAGGAATAAACCCTGAAAATCTCTGGATGTGCCACTGCTGTGCCACCCTGCCCTCTAAACAAAAAATACTGTCCTCCCATTGTTCATCAATTTGCTTGAGCGGGCCCAGTAACATCTCCACTCTGAGACTTGTTACTGTGTTTGGCATATCGAATCCATCACAGGTAGCTTGCCGGGCTCTCCAAGAGGGGCGGAGGAATCGAACATGGGTCAGCCAGGTCGGCCATGTATAAGACAAACGGCCTATGGAATATTGTCAGAATGTTAGTCAAGAAACTTTGAGGGGCCAGAGCAATAGTATAGCAAGTAGGGCACTTAACTTGCATATGACTGACCCAGGAGAGATCCCTGAGCACAGAGCCAGGAGTAAGCCCTGAGCATCACTCAGCATGGCCAAAAAAAAAAAAAAAACTGTAAGATACTTTCAAGAATTTCATTCACAAGACTTGGCTTGGGCCTCAGTTTCTTGCCAGATGGATCTCTCCATGAACTGCTTCTGAAATGCGAGAAACTTCCCTCAGAATAAGCCATTCCATAGGGAAAACAGGGAGGATTGGGAACTTTTATGATAATTCTTGGGAGCAAGTCACTAAAGTCAGACCACATTCAAGGCGAAAAGAATTAGGTTCCGTCCTGTGGAGGGGGTACCAAAGAATTATGGATCTGGCTTGAAATCACAGAAAGGGAAAAGACAAATTAGCTCAGGTGCTACAGAAGGCCCTGAAGACTGTTGTGGACTATTTAGTATCAGAATTGGTTTCATGTGAGTGGAAACATGACATCACTCATGTAATGGACTAAAATGTCAGCTAACAAGTGAAATCAGATTACAGAAGCTAAACTTCAGTTACTTGATAATTCTATCTAATAATTTTGTTGTTAATCAAAATGTAATATGATTGCTAGGTTTCCAACTGATACGTTACAACGCTCAAAATGGATCAGGGCCGTGAATCGTGTGGACCCCAGGAGTAAGAAGATTTGGATCCCAGGCCCAGGTGCTATATTGTGTTCCAAACATTTTCAAGAAAGTGACTTTGAATCCTATGGCCTAAGAAGAAAATTGAAAAAAGGAGCCGTGCCTTCTGTTTCTCTGTACAAGGTACTTACATCTAGGTGAAAACAGAAGCCAATTTTACAAGGCCTTGAACACTCACAGTAGCTTGTGTTCTGGCTAGAGTTCAAAGAAATGTTTTTTAAATTGCATTTTAGGCAGCATGAATCCAGTAGTGATAACTTTGATGGTTTCATTGTATAAGAATACTATACTTTACGGCCACAGTTCCCTAGACTCTCTGTCACCAAACTTTTGTCACTTTCTATTCAGCTGCTTCTTTCCCCTTTTCCCCCGCTGCCTAGTGATTTTAATTTTGTGCTCAAAAGCCAAAGGCTTACCAACTCGGTAATGCCCATTTTTCTTGTTTTTTGTTTCATCAACTGTCAGAACAAGTTATTGTTTCTGTTTGTGTGTGTGTGCTTACATTGTCATATAAACCCTCACTTCTTTCTTGGGGGGGGTGGGCCACACCTGGTGATGCTCAATGAGTTAACCCTGGCTCTGCACTCAGGTGCTCAGGGACCATTTGGGATACTGAGGATCGAACACCTTACCCACAGTACTATTGCTCTGGCCTCAAACCCTTATTTCTTAAACTGGGTGATTGAATGTGGGGGGTAATGATAAATTTGGCAACAGTATAAGATTTCTGAACACACAGCTACCATAAATGAACTCATAGTCAACTGCATGACGAATCCAGTATGCTTCTGGTAGTTCTCACCTCTGTTACATTTCTTGGGTGAAAGGGGTGTCTCATTTGGACAAAGTTGAAGAAGCTGTAGATAATACATTTGGAAATAGAGATTGGCAGGGGTTGAGAACTCAGTGGGCATGTAGAAGCCCTGGGTCTAGTCCCAGTCTGGGTGGACCCCTGATCACCTTTGCACATGGTCCAATAATTAAGTAAATAAATAATAAGATTAAAACTTGGATTATGGGGCTGGGAGATAGTACAAATCGTCATAGGTTTGATTCCTGGCACCACATAGTCCCCCGGCACCACGTGGTTCAGCACCACTGAGTATAGCCCTGGAGGATGCTAGCACTGCTAGATATACCCCTAAAGGACCACAACATTGCACCTTCTGGCCCTTGCACCAAATCTCCAGGCCAGTTGACCAGGAATTATTGGTGGAGCCGCAGATCTCCTAAGCATCACTTAGGAGACCCCAGAAACAAAATGCCAGAGTATGGCCTTTTCTTTTCTAAGTCTCCACAATGGCAGGTGGGTGCTTTGCATTTGCTGGTTTTGGGTTTTGCCATACCTGGCAGTGCTCTGGAAACTGCTGAGGATCAATGCCAGGACCAAACCTGGGGCTCCCATCTGGACACATGTGCTCCAGCCCATAGCATTCTCTCCAGGGTATTTTTATAGATGACTTCTATAGGGGCATTTCCAAAATAGCCTTTGTGTATTTCTGCCATAGGTTCTTCAAGGTACACCCCTTAAAGGTAAAGCAAAACAGAAGGTCCTGAAGGAGCCGCTTCCTGACAGTTCTCTCGAGACCGCCGCTGAGGACCATAACTACAGTTTAAGGACACCTCTGACAACCGGCATAGAGAAGCTGGCTGAGGTGCAGCAGATGCTCCAGGTACCCCAAAAGAGGCTCGTTTCTGTAGAAAACTGTACACTGATCAAGAAGAGAAAGGACTTAAAATTAATTGACGCCCTTGTAGAAGAGAAACTACTTTCTGAAGAAACAGAGTTTCTGCTCCGTGCACAGTTTTCAGGTATATTACCCAGAGATCTGTGATAGTCACAAAACAGCTATTATTTCTGAACTGTCTTTAAGTATCTATTCTTGTTTTGCCTGTGGAAATACTCTTTTTGCAAAGAAATGAAGCCTTAGTTCCACAATCCAGAATACAAAGGCCAGGGAGATAGTTCAGTGAGCTTGACATGTGCTTAGTTAGCATGGCGGTGGCCTCCACGGTACCTTGAGCACAGAGCCAGGAGTGGAACCCAAGCACTGCCGAGTATGGCCCTCAGGTCAAAAAGAACCTTTTTTAAAGAATACAATTCAATGGCTATTACAGGAAAAGTAAGCAAGTGTATGAATGATAAAATATAATAAATAACCCTATTACCCAGAGATGAAGTCATATGGTTTTACCCCTTTTTTATCGTTTTTTGTTTTGTTTTATTTTGACTAGTGCTTCAGTGACCTAGAAGTGATGTGCATGAAACTTGGGCCTCCTGCACATGAAACATGTACTCCGTAGGGCAGAGATATAGTATAGTGGGTAAGATGTTTGCCTTTAATGTGGCCGACCCAGATTCAATTTCTGGCACCCCATATGGTCACCTGAGCAATTCCAGGAGTGATTCCTGAGTGCAAAGTCAGGAGCAACCACTGAACATCCCTGAGTACATCACAAGAAAAAAACTGAAGCATGTCCTATTATTACTAGAAATGTATGGGTCTTTCTAAAGGAGGAGAGGCTATTTCGTGGGGTTTTTTTTGTTTGTTTGTTTAATTACACCTGGTGATACTCCGGGGTTACTCCTGGCTCTGCACTCAGGAATCACTCCTGGCAGTGCTCAGGGGACCATATGGGATGCTAGGAATCAAACCCGGGTCGGACGTGTGCAAGGCAAACACCCTACCCGCTGTGCTATCACTCCAGCCCCTCGTGTGTTTTTTCTAAGAGGTTATTAGAGATCATAAGTTGTGGTCCCTGCCAAAGATGGGAATTTTTTTTTTCTCAGTGATAGGCTAGATTATCTGTTCATTCTCGTTAGCATCTTTTCCTAGAAATGTTTCTTTGGGAAGTGGGGTCACACCTGGCTCTGTGCTCAGGGGTTCCCCCAGGGAGACCACAAACAGTACCTAGGACAGCTGGCCTGTGTGCAAGGCAAGCACATTAGTCCCTGTGCTATCTTGAGCCCCCAGAAATGTTTCATGTGTTTGATTTTCACTCTTAGATAAACGGTAACTAGGGAACAAAAATAAGTAAATGTTTTCACAATCCAAAGATTTTTTGCACTGTTATTTCCTTTTATTTCCTCTTCCTCTGAAAAATCTCCATTCTGACTACCAGTAAATAATAAAATAGTAATTTAAGTTGAAACCATTTTTTTTCTCTCTCTCTCTCTTTTTAGTGAATCATCCACAGTAAATTGATCCAGAGGTCTGAAATTAACTCTGGACTAACTTAATTAATATGTGGTTCATATTGGGGGGGGGTTGTTTTTGTGGGTTTTTTTTGTTTGTTTGTTTTTTGGTCTATTGATGCCCAGGTACAGTTTTATACCCAAATGCTCTGATCTGTACTTGAAACTGTTAACTACACATTTTTCATCCTAGTGAGTAAATTCATTTCTTTTTAACAGATTTTAAGTGGGAATTATATAACTGGAGAGAGATTGCTGAGTACTCTACAGAAATGAAACAGTTCGCGTGTACACTCTACTTGTGTAGTAGCAAAGTCTATGATTACGTGAGAAAGATTCTTAAACTGCCTCATTCTTCTATCCTCAGAACGTAAGTGAATGCTTTTTCAGATGTTAGGCAAATATTTTGTTCATTTACTTCATTTTTATACATTAAGGCTATTCATCATTTTTTTCTTTTTATAAACTTCTTGATGGCACTTGCATATTACAGCAGTGATAATACACACACATACTCAGTGACGTTGAGCCTAATGAAATTCTTTATTTTAACATGATGGAGATGTAATTGGGTTGATGAAATTGAATCTTGAAATACTGGAATTTCAAATACATTTCAGTTAACTTTGTTGGGTGTGGGGGCTCAATCCTTTGTTGCGGTGTTTGAGGGGTCGGAGGACTATCCAGTGAATCGTGTCTGACCAGGCCAGCAGCCTACCCTCACTTGAGGGAGTGAGGATGCTCAGATACTGCAGGGCCCAGGGGACTGTGTCTTAGTGCACAGGGAACTCCAGGGTTGTATGACCAGCAGTGTCCAGCAGCCATGTGAACATGAGACCGGGCTGATTCCTAGACTGCCTTCCAGCCTCACTTTCTGCTTCTCTGTTTGTTAAAGGGCTGCTCCCAGTAGGGTGCAGCCAGGCGCTCTGACCCAGTGGTCTTCAGGGCCATGGAGCCTACTAAGGATGTGTTGACCACTAGCACAGTCTTTCATAACTTTTACATATGTACCCAGTAGTTCTTATACCTGACTCTGCTACCAAATCCAGAACAGTTTGAGATTGATGCCAGTGATTTGAGGCAGACGGCACTTTGCCTCATAAGCTCTGTAGTATCCAGAAGCACTGTAGTAGATGCTAATGTCATCCAGGGACCTGGTTTTTATTATTAGTTTTTGTTTTGGGGCCACACCTGGTAATGCTCAGGGGTTACTCATGGCTGTGTGCTCAAGAATCATTCTTGGTGGTACTCAGAGGACCATATGGGATGGAAGGGACTCAGTCAGGCACATGCAAGGCAAATGCCGTATCCACTATACTACTAAGGACCCAGTTTAGAAAAATATGTTTTTGGTAAAGTATTCAAAGTACTGTGATGTAATTCTCTTGAAATAAAGCAAGGCTGGTTTTACAGGCTCATGTTTGGGGCTGGAGCAATAGCACAGCAGGTAAGGCGTTTGCCTTGCACGCGGCCGACCCGGGTTCGTGTCTCAACATCCCATATGGTGTCCCGAGCACCGCCAGGAGTAATTCCTGTGTGTATGAGCCAAAAGTAACCCCTGTGCATCTCTGGGTATGACCCAAAAACCGGGAAAAAAAAATACAGACTCATGTATGTGTTGGACTTACTGGTAGTTTATCATCTTCCCATCCTGTGGGCAGAGGCCTCTATGAAGGTGTGAGCAGTTCCTTCCAAGTGAGGTCTGGGAGGGAAAGGGCTGTTCCATGCCTCTTGGGGCTTGTAGGTAAATGTTCTCCCTGTGTTTCTCACTGTTCCTTTCTTGTATATAAGTCCATGTATTTCTGTGGAAAGATTTCTCTTTTTATGAGGATGCGTCCATGTCAGATTAGGATACACCCTAATGGCCTCTTTTAACTTTATCATTTCAGCTGGGAATGGACAACTAGCTGGGCCACACCCTGAAGTATTCCTGGGTCTGTGCTCAAGGGCCACTCCCAGAAATGCTTGGAGGGACCTATAGAACACTGGAGATCAAAGTTGACCACAAGTTCTCTCATCTCTCCAGCCCCTCTTTTAACGTTTATTACCTATGTAAAGACCTTATCCAAATCAGGTCACCTTCAGAGCTCCTGGAGGTTAAGACTCACGTATACCTGTTTGAGGGGTGCAGTTCAGCCTATCCCAGTCACTTCCTTGCTGCTAAGCCTCCTGCAGACCAAAGACCTTCATTTTGCTGTGATTTACTGGCCTCTCTGAGATGCAGCTCCTTCTGGGCCCTGTGGTTCTGCCCTCTTACATACCAGTTTCAGTTGTGAGACATTAGCTTTGGGCGCTGACTCTACACTGTATCACCTGGTTTTATTTTTATTTTACTTATTTGGGGGGGGGTGTAATACACTCAGCAGTGCTCAGGGGCATTCCCTGGCACTGTGCTCAGGACTGACCTCTGCTGGTCCTCACAGAACCATAATCAGCTGTACTATCTCTCCAGTTCTTTCCATTTTTAAAAGATGTTTCTTTCACATGTACTATTAATGTTAATGAAAAAATGTAGAGTGAGATAAAGGGAAGGAAAGTTGTTTCCCTATTTTATATGAACACTTAACATGAGAAAAATTGTATTTTAATCTTTTTGTGTGTTTAGTGTTTTGGGGGAGGACCCCTAGCATTCCTAGTGACTCCATACTAAAATACATGCCTTGTCTGCATGAGTCCTGGTTTTGATCCCTGGCACTGCAAAAATAAAATAAATCAAAATTGCCAGGGCCAGAGAGATAGTAAGTGCCTTACCTCCTGGTAAGGCACTTGGCAGCCATACCGTAGTAGTTGGCACCACATTTGGTTCCCTGAGTGCCACCAGGGAGAGTCCCAGAATACCACTGGGGGTATGACCAAAAATTAAGATAAAATTATAGCATCATTCCATTTGGGATGTTCTGCCATTTTATATATGGAAATAAACATTTCTGCATATATGCCTTATTTGTTTCCTTCTATACAGTGACTTATAAGTGTCTGCTTTTAAGAAACATTTATTTGGAGATAGGATTGAATCAGTGGCTTCCCAGATTCGAATCATGCACTTTACCACTGAATCCAAGCCCCAGCCTGTTCAAGAAACCTTTTTGAGAACTGGAGATATAGTGTAGCAGAGCCTGGCATTTGCCTTGCACGCAAACAACTGAGTTCAATCCCCAGAATCCCATATTGCCCCCCAAGCCCACCAGGAATGATCCCTGAGTACAGAGCCAGGAGCACCTGAGCACTTCTATTTTTCTCCCAAAAACAATAAAAAGCCTTTTAAATATAACTATAAGCCATCTTCACGGGATTTCAGGTGGCACTAAAGGGTAAACAAGAAAGTTTTTATAGATATGATGTGTGTTCCTTCTCCGACACCTTTTTAGTCATGCCTTCTTGTCTGTAAGAGTTTAAAACCTTAACTGGTTTGGGAACTAGAGGAAAAGTAGAGTTAGTAAGATGCTTGCCTTGCATGCGATTGACCCGGGTTCAAACCCAGCATCCCATAGGGTTCCCTGAACACCGCCAGGAGTGATTTCATGAGTACAGAGCCAGGAACAACCTCAGAGCACTGCCAAGTATGGCCCCAAAAGCAAATCAAAAAGAGAAAACAAGACCAAAATCACCTTAACTGGTTTTTAGACTTTTGACTCTATGTGAGATGTCCCATATATATCTTTTGCTTCTCCAAATTTTCTTTTTATTTCCTCAGTTTTCTTTAATCCTGCCCCCCTTTTGGTGAAGGAAGGAGTGGAGGGAGAGGTAGTGAGTCTCTGAAATTGGACCTGGGGCCTCATATCTTGGCTTCTTTATTTTCTGTCCTTTAACATCAGCTCCTAACTAAATCATCTCACAGTTCCAAATCACACCTTTAAATTTAGGTTGATTTGTTTTTAGGGTCAGATTCTGTGATGTCTAGGGATTATTCTCAGCTCAGTACAGTCAGGGGGAGAATATGTGGTACCAGGGATAGAACCTGGAACTATGGCATGAAGACATACACTTTCCTGCCTTTGAGCCATCTCCCTTGCCTCTAAATTTACCAGACTTTAAAAAATAATAGTATCTCGGGAGCTGGAGAAATATAACACAGGGGTTATCATGCTTGCCTTGAACTCTACCCATCTAACCATTGTTGGGTCCTTGGTGCCACATACGGTCTCATGAGCACAGAGCTAGGAGTAATCCCTTAGCACCACCAGGTGTGCCCCAAACCCCTCAAGTCCTGCCAATGAAAGTTAAATCTTGGACTAGAGCTGGAGCCCTGGGTTGGATGCCCAGTATTGAACAGTGACCCGAACACCACCAGGAGTTATAAATATCTTATGGATTTGTTTTTGGGGGCGCCTTTTTTTTCCTTGGTTGATTGGTTGGTTTGGGGGCCACATCAACAGTGCTCAGGGGGTTACTGCTGGCACTGCACACAGGAATCGCTCCTGGCAGTGCTCAGGGGACCATATGGCATGCCGGGGGTTCAGTCCAGGTTGGCTGCTTACAAGGCAAGCGCCTACCCTCTGTACTGTCGGTCCAGCCCCTCTGTATGTTTGTGTGGCCACGCATTATACTGCTGAGAGTAGCTCCTGGGTCCCTGGAACACTGTTGGTGGAGGTTCCCCACCACCAACACCAAAAATTGATGCTATGATCATGGGGAGGCAAGGGGGTCCACGCCCGTGTGCATACCAGGGATTGAATCCAGACCTTACACAAGCAAGGCACATACTCTACCACTATATCTTTTCTGTAGATTATAAACTACTTAATCAAAGGTCTTTTTCACCTTGTAACTTTTCAGATATACTGATACAACTTGAAAGCAACTTAATAGGTCATAAGTGGCATTAAATTATGAATTTGTGTGTATATGTATATCATAGATATGTGTAGGTGTATATGTCTTTATGGCATATTACTACATAAATTCTGTTTATGGAACTTCTAGGTTACAGCAAAATACTTGGCCATTTTTGCTTGATTGAATGGTTGGTTTCAGGGCCATACCTGTGGTTTTCAGGCCACCACCAGTAGTACTCGAGACTGTGGTGCTGGGGACTCTCAGCACATTCACCTCTCTCCAACCCTGTAGCAAAACACTTAGAAACCACAACCCTGAAATTGTTGATTAAATAGAGTTTGGCTATCCCAAAATAAACCTAGCAACCCAGCATGTGACCAAATCAGACACCCTCATAGAAGACATGTTACAGAAGTAGACCTCTACTTAATTTTCGTTTAGGTTTTTATTTTGCAGAATTATTAATCTTGTTGGTTTGCTTTTATAATCCATGACAAACTAGAAAGAATTAAATGAGCTCTGAGTGTCATGGATTCTACAGGCAACCCCTGTAACAGGAGAGGATAATGAGCAGCGTGGGAAGGCGGGAAAAAA